CCCGTCGAGCAGTCACGCTTGCCGGCTGCTCATCGTTGCCAAAAGTCATCGCCACTCCGCCCGTCGAGCAGTCACGTTTGCCGGCTGCTCATCGTTGCCAAAAGTCATCGCCATTCCGCCCCGTCGAGCAGTCACGCTTGCCGGCTGCTCATCGTTGCCAAAAGTCATCGCCACTCCGCCCCGTCGAGCAGTCGCGCCTTCGTGTATATCTTCATTTTCACAGTGTGTTGTATTATTCGCCACCGATGACGACGCAGTTTCAGTAGATCCCTTAATATTTTGTTCGGTTGGCAACACATTAGGGTATCGGGGTGCCAACGCACTTTTTTCTCCTTGACCTGCCGTAAGGGATGTCCTAGCGTCCTGCAAGGTGGGAACAACACCACTTTTCGTTTGCTGAGTGGAGCGTTTACGCGTTGTAGCGCTACTTTTATTTGGGAAAAAACCAATCTGCATGGCGGTGCGATATCCGACGTCACTGATACATTCTGTGCTTCCAAAAATAATGGGCATCCACTGCACATCATCCTGCAACGCGGGAAGCGGCTGCACTGGGATCGAGTACCACGTGTGGTCAAGAAGCCCGTGACACGTCACGCCCTCAGACTTGTCGCCTCTTAGTAGTCCGAGGTGAGTGTGCCGCTCCCTATCAAGCACTGCCATTGAAACGACTGGTCGAATAACACCATGGCGAAGTTGATGCTGAGCAGCAGAGGAGTTGGAAAGAAGGCGAAAAAGATTGACAACTTCACTCTTTCCAAGCGTATGTTCACTCGTATTGCTCACTTCACTAGAGGCAGTGGTTCCCTTGGCCTGCTCCTGTTCCTTCCCACAGAGAAGGACGCCCTTCTCTAAAAGGCTCTCCTTCTTGTGTTTTGGGTTACCGGAGACATTGTTGCAGGAGAGTGACGTGGTGAGAGTAAGGAATCCGTCGGTCTTTGAGAAAAGCTGAGGTAACGGCGCCCGTGCCTCACTGGATCCATTCCCTCTCCGCGGGATTGCAGGCTGGGGCGACGAACTCCTGCCGTCACGAGTGCCAGATTTCTTCGCCGCAGCAATTGGGTCAGGTGACGCAGCACGTGACACCTGATTGGAACAGACAAGCCCTTCTACGCCACCACCACCAGCGCTTGTCCCACCCGCTCCCTCGTGTGTCGGTCCTGTGTTGGCGTGACTCGAAACTGAGATGGTGGGAGACGACCACGGCGCAGCTGTCAGGTCCGACACAAGCGTGATGCTCACTGTGCGTGCATCATACGCGGCGCGACTAGACTTGGCGTAGTAGAGCGGATTGTTTTCGTCAGTCACAAGATGGTAACAGTCACATGGGGCAAAGGAGTACACAAGACGACGGGCAACCAGCGCAGAAGACGAGTTACTGGTGGAGGCCCCAGTCTCAGTAACATTAGGTGTGGTAGAAGTGTGGGCCGCCGTTTCCTTTTCTTCATTTTCACTTGTATGGCCTGCACCAACCAGCATCGTGTAGCAACGCAGTATCTTATTGCACTTGGAGAAAAATTTTTCCATGGTGGCATCGTTCTCCGTGCAATACCTGTCAGGCATTTCAAAGGCCAACATTTCATGCATGGTGTCATTCATGTAATTGTCGGTAGACAAAGTGAAAACCGGTGAATTATTCAAAGTGGGAGAGACGCCACCGCAGAAGCGTGCCTCCTCTCGTTTATTCGTGTAGTATTGTTGCTCCTCAGGCGTGAAACGGCTAAGTGGTACCTTGAATGCGGCAAACTGCAGTGATCGCGGCGCGGTATGAGAACCTGTGCCCTGCGTCGCAGCCACGTTGTAAATCATAGTACCATCCAAAACACGAAAACCCGTCATGTCTTTACCTAGACGCACAAACTCTTCTCCAATAGACGGAGTTGCGTGCTCCCATGCGCAGGTCTCTGATGTAGCGGTGTCAGACTGCAAAAATCCACCAAGATCGGTACTTCTGTAACTCGTCCTGTTGGTGTCACTTTGTCGTTGACAATACAACTGCTGCTGCTCCCTCGTAAGTTCAGGCAACAAAATAAAGTAAGTGTCGTTGTAGTGAAGATCGGTCAAAGAATCTGCCGGTTTTTTTCCACTCTTCTCTCCCTCTCCTTGTGGCTCTTCTACGCCGTCTTTGCGCGCTGCAAAACCACTAGAAGACGTATTTGATGACAGCAAGGCATTGAGGTGCGATGGAAATGTCCGGAAACGCAGCTCTGGTGGAAGAAAGCTCTGCGTTCCCTGCAATGACGCAAGCTCCTCGCAGCTCAGTGTCGTGCTTGGAAGGGGCGGAGATGAAAGGTGGGTGATGACAAGGAGGTAGACATGTTCGAGCGTGTCAAGGTGTTCGTAGGGAAAGCGCTGATGCAGCGCCGTCAGCAGTGCGCGATGCAGTACATCTGCCTGTTCCTCCACCGAGACGTAAGCACCCGATGATTCGTTCTGCTTGCCCAACGCTGGCATTGCAGGGGTGGGTTCTGCATCTGCAGACACGCCCAAGCTGCACGACTTCTTGGTTGACCCCAGTTGGCACACCTCCTGCGGTAATGCAAGCTGATGCAGCTGCATTCTAAAGTAGTCTACCTCGGGTTCGAGGAACAACATCTTTTCCCTCCACTGCTACACAAGCGTAGGTCCGGCAAGACAAGTCAAAAAACGCGCACAACAAAACCAAAGAAGTAAGGAATGACACACACACACACACACACTTCCCTTCCGTCTATATGTCTGTCAGGAGGAATTCGTGTGATTATCCTCCACTCGTGTAAAATCGTGTGTCAAGCTGAGTGAGTAACTGAGTTGGAGGACACGAAGGATAGGTGCTTCTAACAAAATAAATACCACACGTCTAGATAGTCTAAGAGGTCAAGAACGCACACGTCACTCTGTCCCTGAGATGTGGATAAAATAGAGTCAAAGCAAACATCCAAAAGAAGAGTGAAGACAAAAACGCAGAGAAATGAACAACAAGCGCAACTGAAGGGCAGCGAGAAAGAAATAAAGAGAAAATATTTAAATTGTGCTGAAGTCCAATCCCCTCCCCCCCCCACACACACACACAGAGAGAGTGAGAGAGAGTGAGTGAGAGAAAAAAAACACAAACAAACAAGCTCTCTACCCTATCCTTGAGTTGTTTTCCCACACTTCCATTTACCCACTTCCAAGCACACCAACACTACACATCTAATACGGGAAAGGCCCTGCACATGATGCTTCTCCCTTTCACCTCGTGACCAAAGTCGTAAAGCAGACAACGGGCATCACAACGGGCGACACATCCTTTTTTCCTTACCGTTGCCATAAATTCCGCTACCTATTATCCGTCTAGACTGACACCGAGGCGCAAGCACTGTCACAACCGCAAGCACCTCAATAATGGCAGGCAGTCGCTCCAGTATTTCGCCGTCGGTCTCACAACTTTGCATTAGGATTTCAATGCGTGAAGCTGAATTATCCGCAGCAGAGCGGAGAGACAAGCGCGTGTCCACGTCAATGATGGTGCGTGTTGTGTTCCATATTGTGGTGGAAGGCCAGTGTGTGTGGTTTCCAGTGTACAATGAGGGAGCGTGCGAGACGAACCGAGCAAACCCCGCGACCCAACTTGTCACGCTGAGCTGACCATCTGTGGGGTTGGCATGCGGCGCCACCTGCAAACCACCGCCGAACCACCGCCCGTTAGCGAAGGCCAAAGTTGAGGATTTCAAATAAATCCATCGGCCCGGCACGTCTGTGTCGTCTATGGCGGCTACAATATCTTCTGGCGTCTTGGCCTCCTTGCCGCACTGATCAGAGTAAAATGGATTGACGACCGTTTTTTCCATACGCGGCGGAAGCCGTACGATCTGAGGCAACGCTCTCACCTTGGACATCATACGCGTAGTAATTGGCTCCAAAGCGCAGGGGCTCCGTCGCTGGAAGCGCCTCCGTTGCCGCAGATCTCTTCACCCATTTAAAGTCACGTTGTACCCCCCGAAGCGCCACGTCATTCATGACGAGGTGTTGGTGTAGCAGATCACTGCCAATGCGGCGCGGGACGAGGCTGTTTGACGGCAGTGAGGCAAATTCAGGTAGGGCAACAAGGCGAAATGGCTTTGGCCGCACCTGATACACAGAGACTATAGACGCCACAGCGAACATTAGTTTGCCCCCCAACAAGGACAGAAGTTTGCTTTCCTTATACGCCTCACATTTCTCAATAACATCACAAGACATTCCACATGAGCATTCATTGATAAAAAAATGGTTTCGGCCGCTGCGAGGAAAAAACACACGCGCCACGTCCACGTCATACACCTCAAACTCAAGTGGCGGCAAATCATTCGTTTTATATGTATTACCCTCTGTCACGGCGGTGGTACTAGATTCCTCACCAGAATGGGTACCATTTGTACCCGTTAGTACCTGCGCCGAGGTGGTAGGGGAGGAACATGGCGGGAGGTGCTCCCAGACGCTGCGCAGAAGTTTAACGAACTCTTGTGCATTGCGGCAGCCCAACCCCAATTTGGCAAAGTCCGTGCCCGTGCCTGCGGGAATGTAAATCAAAGGTGGGAGAAAGTGCCGCAATATAGATCGGTCTTCCAGCGATTGCCAGTAGTACTGCATTGAGTCCATGTCACTTGTAGAACTTGCATCGCTTTGCATACACGTTGGTATGATTTCCCGAAACGCTTCCAAGGTACCACGACACATGCCGTTAACGACATCACTTAAAGAGCCGTCTCCTCCGACGGCTACAAAAACGTGCAGCGAATCCACGTTTTCTTTCTGACTCATGCTCGTCGTCTTCATGCTATACTCTGTCGCTGCGGCAACCTCATCATTGAGGCAACGACGCAGGCGAGACATTACCACCATCTTCGTGAGATGTTGCGCCACCTCTCGCCCGCGTATGTTCTGTTCCGTGGCAACAATGTCAACCCGTATTCCGCCCTGACACGAGCAGTTCGTCGTTGCATCGTTAGCAGCAGGGCCTAACTTATGCGGTGCTTCAGTGAAGGACAAGAACGACGGCGATGTGGGTTTTAAAGGCGAGATTGGTGAATGATTGGCATTCCGGCTTACTGTGGCACCATTGCTCGATATCAACTCGCTAGCAACACGCACTCGAGCAACACAGTCACCGAACTCCATCCGCAGCATCCTCTCGATGCGCCGCTGGAGGAGTTCGCCCTTCCCTTGGCCACTCGTCGGGTTGATGATAACCCAAGCCTGCAGCCGAGGCGGCTTACCGGATTCCTGCACCCTGCTGTTCCGAGAAGACATTTTTCTTTTTTGTTCCCGCAACAGCACCCCTTCAACTCGCCTTGTGCACCACTAAGGCCCAGCCCCATTACGCGGCGTGATCCAAAAAAAAAAAAAAGAATAATAATAATAATAATAATTGACAACAGTCAACGTCCAACAAAAATATGAGAATTGTGGCGAGGAGGGGCACGACAATACCATCCAGAGCAGGGATGCAAAGAAGGGGTAGTCGGTTGCCGATTGCATTTTTTGCTTCGGCTGTAATAAGTATCATGCGTGCGTATAATGAAGTTTGTCTGCATGTGTATGCTGCACGGCAACAGTGGGCGCACGGGTGTGCAAAAAAAGCGAGCAAATAAAACAAATGCTAAGAGTGGCAGCTGGTCCCGACGCCATGTTTCCCTCCCTCCACTACAAACAGAAACACAAACACCAATACAACCTACAAAAAAAAAAAAAAAAGAATACAATGCTCGATCCAAAGACGACCTAAACGACACAGTGTCTTGCCTCCATTCAAACCCCATCCTCTCCATCCTAATTTCCTGGCAACGGCGGAGCGCGTTGGGAGAAAAAAAGGGCGTCCGCATGAAGAATCCATCAAAAATCAATCAAACATGAGGTATTAAAGGAGTAAAAAGAAGAAGAAAAAATGCTTAAAAAACAACGACTAGGAAATACGCAGAGATAAGTGAAGCTCAACGGGAAAAGAAATAAAACCACTTCAACTGTACGAAGAAGAACAATGATGTCCCCATCACCCCTTATTATCCCTAGTGAAACGAAGGAAGTGTCAAGAGTGCGGAAAGGCTAAGGCCACACCACAGAAATGGACTCAACCCAGAGAGTAAAACGAAGGTAAAAGGCCAAAAAATAATAATAAATCATCATCGCACTTTGCCTTTTTCCTTCCCACCAGTAACAGTTGCACATGCAATAACGTTTTGCTTCTTTCTTCGCGTGCCTATTCTCTGCCCCCCCTCCCCCTGTTTTGCATCATTTGTCGTATCTTCACTCAGAACGGTCTCCTGTTTCAGAGGCGAGACATTCGACATCCTACGCCTCTCTTCATTTCCTTGGATTTTTCTCGCCCTCCTCCCCACCCTTTTATATTTCTTTATTATTATTATTTTCCTTTTTAGGTCCCGTCAGCCTTCCATCACATCAGGTTCTTGTCCATCTCGTGCGGTTTGTTATGGTCAGCTGCGGCGGTGCCATTACCATTCAGCTTTCTGGACAGCAGTTCTGTTACAGTACGCTCAACGCGTCCCTGCCCTGCTTCAACAGTGTGGCACATCCTATCGCACACAGCGGATAGCTGCAAATGTGCCATCTTCTGCTGACTCTCCAACGCACTCCTTGTCCGCTCGTTCAAGTCTTGACTGAAGGATTTCAACGCCTTTTCCATCGCATTGTGAATACGCTCTGGAAGTTCCTGAAAGACATGTTGAGTGAGTTGCTGCTCCCCCCCATTACTGACTGAACTTTCTCTAAGCAGCTGCTGATCCTCGTGCATAATCCTCAGATGTTTTGACAAGGTCTGGTCGAGTTGACCTTGAAGCTTCCTCTGCATAGCCTCCAACTCCTCCCGCACATCGAGAGTAATCTGCTGCTTTGAAGAAAAGGCACTCATACACTCCGCAAGACGTTCCTCCAAGCGTCGGGTAGAGCCCACGAGTTCGTTCATGACGCCGGACGGGACATCATCGCCCCCAGTCTGCTGCTGATCTATTTTATCACCGATGCGCTCCACTTCCTTTCGAAGTGCCTCCATCACGATTTGCGTCTGGCGCAGCTGCCGCTGAACATTCTCAAACTCTTTTGTGGCATCTATGAGGGCTTCTCTCTCACTCTGAAGCCCCTCCATAAGTTCTATCACGCGCTCTCGCGACCAGTACTCCACAAGCTTGCTCAGGGTACTCACAAGATGATCGGTGGATTTTTCATGACGCAGTGCCACCTCCTCCAATGCGTTGGCTACAACTGAGCGTAGCACATTTTCCGAAAGAGACTCCGAAGAATGTTGACTGGCGTCTTGACCACAACGGCGCAAAGTTAAGGGGGGCAAGACTCCGCTCCCTTCTTTCCTTACTTCCATGTTGCTCTGCTGCCTATGACTAGCCTCCTCACCACCGTCTATGCTTGCGCTCCGAAGCGCAAAGATAACATTCTTCTCAGTAAAGCAAGTGGGTACAGTCACCACAGCAACATCGGCCAGCGACGAAAGAGACTGTTGAAGGTTTTTTTGATACTCCTGGCACATGAGCTTTGCGTCCTCCTCGATAACGAAGGAGGCGCCGAGAAGCAGCAAAACTGGCACCCGATGTGTAGTTTGAACGTCCAACTTGTTTCCTTCCTTGCCTGTTTTCCGCCGGCACTCCTCTTCAAATACTTGTGTGATGGTGATAAGTGGCGTGCGGCAAGCCCCTGCACCGGTCAGTCTATAATACAAAGCATACACCTCTCCACCGCCATACACGGGGAGGTTCAACATATCGGCAACTCGTACTCTGTCAACGTAGCCAGAGAAAAGGGTCTTCTCCACCTCCTTTGGAGGCTGAAACGGCGCTGCCAGTGACAAGCGAAACATTTGCTGTAATGACTCCCGCGTGTCCTTTTGGGTAGGCGGAACGGAGGAGACTCGCACCTTGACCGCCCCAGGGGGTGGTGTGTAGGACAGCGAGAGAGATTCATCCGCATTCGTATTGTTGTCTACTTTTTCCTTTTTTATACCCTTATTCAAAGGAGTAGGTGTCTTTGGCTCACTCGTTGTTGTTGTTGTCGTCGTCGTCGCCGTTGTCGCTATTGACGTCTTCTTGGGAGGTAGACTCTTCGGTGTGCCTTTACCTCCGGCGACTGCCGCTCAGTTTTCCCCTCATTGCCATCCCCTGCGGCAGCCTCCCGTTGTTCCTTTACAGGTACCTCAGAGGCAGCGCTGACGGTGGCATCCCCCGGCGCCTCCATCGCCTTTTCTACATTCTTCGCCTCCAGTTTGCTTTCCCAAAGACTCTTTAAAATCGGCTTGACGACAGTCGACTGCTCAGCGTCCATAACGATGGCAGTGGCATTTTTAAAGCGCTCCCGCTGCTGCAGGGCAGTGGACAGGACGAACTCACTTGCGTCAGCATCGTCCTTATCCAGTGACGTCTGAACAAGAACAAGTAACGGATGTGAATGCTCGGAGTTGAGTTGCAGCTTAGAAACGTCATCGCCACATGTAATGACGAATCGCAAAATGGAAGCGGCGCTGTTGTTGGCGTCTCCCGCGGTGCCGTCAATCGTCAGAACGTTGGCCGTTGAGGGAAGCGACTTCTGCAGAAGCTGCGCAAGGTCGTCCGTCTTGTATGCCGGGCAAATGCTAGCAGGCAGTGTCTTTCCCTCGTCAGCGTGCGTCGACTTCCCGTTCGGCCCGGGCGCGTTGTAACCGACAGTTCGCATGGCGGCCTGCGATGCCCGATGGCGCGTTGCTGTGGGCCTTGAGCTGAGCCGTCGAACACAGCGAAACATGAGGATTTTGCGATTATCGACAAACGCAACTGCAGCCCCGCCTATGCAAATATGGACAACGATTAATGGAAGTGCGAGCCACTGCCTTATTTTCTCCCTTCTTACTCGTTTCTCGTATTACAGGTCTTCTTTTCGTTAGTCCCGCTCAAGCAAAGGAAACTGACACACACACACACAAGACTGACAAAGAGGCAGCTGTGTGGCTTCGCCTCGCGCACCCCATCAAATAATGATGGTAAAAAGGAGCAACAAAAAAAGATCAACCAAACAGATACGAATGCGCAGCCTCTTCTCCCCTCACATTCACACACAGGCAGAAGCCATACAAAGGCAGAAGCAAGAGAGTAGTGAGGGGAGACGCAGATAAGGAAGCAAAAAACTTCATCAATGGTTCATTGACGCAAAAACAAAAACGACAATACCAACAATAATGATAGTATGATGTGCATCCGTAAACCACAAAAAAAAAAAGGATTGAAGAAGCGGCCACGTGGACGACGACCAGAAACTTTTCAGTATGGACTTCATCCACTTTTTCTTCTGCACCCACACATATCATTATTTGTTACTTCCCCTTTTATAGTGGTACCCCTTATACGTTGCGCGCGGTGTCTACCTCCTCGTACGGACCAGAGTCCACGTACAACACGTAATCGTCACGGTGCTGCACCGGGTACTCAACATCCCAGAGTGTCAACCCATAAACCGGGGCGGGGGGAAATCGCTCTCGCTTGAACCGATGCCGCGACGGTTCAAAGCCGCTCTGCAGTGCCTGTTGTAACTCAAGCTCATCCCAAAGACCGTGACCCGCAGCCTTCAACAGACTCACCATGTTGCGGATTTGGTGTCGTAAAAAAGACTTGCCAACAAACCAAATCAGTACCTCGTCGTCTTGCCGTACCACCTCCAGGCGGTCAATGGTTCGGATTGTCGGCAAATTGGTGGAGGCACGGTAGTACTCCTTGGCATGAGCACCCGGCTGAACAACACGCTGGCCATACTCATTGAATGTTGGAAGTGCAGCCGCACGTGCCAAGTTGCTGGAACCCTTTTCTATAACCACTTTTGGCGCCTTTCCACGTGTGACTCGCGTCGATTCCCCGGTGGCAGTGGGTTGGTAATGCTCATCTAAAGCGGCTCCTGTAGATAGACCAGATGGACTTACTGCAGCTCGGCGAAGTGCATTTGCCATCTTGGGATCTGCAAAGTAGCCAAAATCTTTCGTTCCTTCCAACGCCTTGGCGAAACGTTGCATGCGGGGAACATCCAAGTGACGGTCCACGTGCCATTGTAAACCGGCATCAAAAAGTGGTGGTGCAACACGATTAAGAATGCGGTACAAGTACACGCGTCTCACACCACTATGGCGTGCGTGAAAGTCTTGATTTTTACACCGTTGACAGCTAAGAATAGCAAGGGGTTGCTGCCGCTTCTCTAACCACATCGTGGCCCGCTGAATAATTGTGCGTGGTTGCAATTCAATATGACTAGGCACATCTAGGTGGCAGCAGAGTCGCCGAACAGATACCCCAACTTCGGGAATAACACCTGCAACTACCTTAACACTGTGCACATCCAGGGCTACTGCCAGTGCCTCCTCCAGCACAGTTCGAGCATGATATCGACTGCTCATTGATTTCTCATCGGAAGCCTTTGCCAGATCGTTGGAATCCGGTGCAAGAGGGACACGCCGCACAATTCCGTCCGATGTCGTCTCCCTTCGATACAATTGGCGTGAGGTGCTTTTCCACCATCCATCAAAGTCGCTGCCTTGATACTGTACGTCTACACGATAACGCGTATTTCCCGGCGAAATAATCTGCTGACCTGGAACGTACGCTTCTCCGGCTGCCATTGTTCCTGCGTGCCCTTCCGTGCAACGTGCTGGAGGGAAATACAAAAAGGCATCATCCAAAAGCTCCTGCTCTACGGTTTCCACTGCAACAAGAGAAGAGGATGCCCCTTCACCTCCAAAGAGGTTCTGCAAACTCTTCATTTCGTCCTCTTCTGGCGCGGTTGTGATGACTGTAGTGGTGGTCTGTGCAGAAAGTGTTCTTCCAGGCTCCTGCTGAAAGCTCCTGCGCTGCACACTGTCCTGAAAAAGCTGCGTTATGGCTTCTGTCGCAGCGCTTTGCTGCTGCTCTTCGTTGCGCCACTTGCGGCTGCCCCATGAGCCTTTCACTGGCACCGACTCTCCCTCTACGCGTTCCACTGTGTGCTGTTCCGCGCCACCACTGCCCTCCTCGCCATCCTTCGATCTGTTACCAAGGCCTCGCCGACCACTCACAGCAACAGCGTGAACGCAAAGAGGCGGCGGAGAAAAGTGTAGATCGCTTCCTGCAAAAGCCACCCTTCGTAGTAATGAAGAGAAGGCAACTCGTGGTGGTGTGCGGACGCATGCAGCCACAGCCCACATTTGATGTGTGCAGGATGGCAAGTATCCTCTTTTTTTTCCCCTTTGTTTCTCTTTCCAAGTCCGAGGTCATACGGCGACGACGCAACGGCAGATGACAGTTCAAAAAAAAAAAAAAGAGTTTCAGGCCGAAAAAAAAATTATGTGGTAATAATAAGAGTAATATGAGTGATAATAATGACTACTCGTTTAGCATCGAATCCAACGCTCAGTACCTTTCGGTTATTCTCGTTCATTTCCATCCTCACTGCACACGCAACACTTACGCACGCCTTCAAGAGGACGTTTGTATTGGTGCGCCTACTGGCATTCACCCCGGGGAGCTGGCGCAACGATTATGGGGCTCCAGGAATCCACAGTACGCCAGTTGCAAAGATCGTCGCCAGAAAATAAACAAAAACGTGGAGTCAGCGTAATGGTGTGTTACAACAACAAAAGGCGTTCTTTTGAGCAGCTCAACATAAAAAAAAAAAAAAGAACCCCAGTCGGGCAAATAAACAGCGCACTTCTCAGAAACGTACGTAATGCAACAGTAAAATTATTTCACCATCTCGCGATGTATGCCATCTCCATTGTTTCATTGGCCTTGTTCGTTGTGAGTGGGAGTTTATAATTATTATTATTTTTTCACTGTTTGTTTCCTTCTCATTCCATCTTAAACGTTGCTCCGTACGGTGTTGATGGCAATGCTCAGCCTGTTATAACGCCTCATCATCGTCACTTACAAGTCGTATTCAACCACTTCAGAAAAATTCCTTTTTTTTTTTTGTCTCTCTGACCTTGTTTCTACTTTCGTCTACACATGTTGATTTGCTTTTCCTCCCACCTCTCCCTCACCTCGTTTCTCTAACGTCGCGGCTACCACCTCTTTTCATAGTACAATATACAACATACTACCGGCTTCGTATGTCCGATGAAGCAGGTGGACTGTACGCGGTCGGTGAGCAGCCCTGTCCACATCCGCAGGTAATGGTCGCTGCTTGCCGTAAAGAGATAACGGCCGCAATCACTGAAAACGCAATCCCACACCCACCGTAGGTGTCCCGTTAAAGGCTTCAATGCGATAAATTTCAGTACGCCTGTGCTATGGAGCTGTGTGTTATCTTCAATGTTCAGCGACTGGACAACAGAGAACTGCAGTAAGGAAGCATCAGCAAAGTCAGCGGGAGAAGCTGATGCCTTCTCATCTGTTTTTGCCGCTGATCCATCCGCTATTCTCTCATCCGCGTCCGATGAACCCTTTTGACCTGTTCCACTCTGTGATGTTTCCAACGTTTTCGCTTCAGCTCCGTTCGGTTTATCAGCCGAGCCACATTGTGAATCTTCTTCTCCTGCCATAGGTTGTAATAACGATGCCACTGCTAGAGCCACTTCTGGGGCTCTTGGTTGTGCCATGCGCCTTGCCTGCAACCTATCCACTCCCTCGGAAGACATTGGCGCTGCTGCAGACATAGTGTTCTCGTTCTCCTGCCCGTTGAAAATGTCATCCCCACTGCGTCTTGCTTCGAATGCCGTACCCTGTTGAAGCTCCTTCGGAATGAGAAAGCGGCCGACGGTGTAGTCGGCGCAACACGTGACCAACAGATCCGTACTGGGGGATATAGCCACCTTGAGGATGTACTTGTAATGCGCCTGAAAGGAATAAAACACCTCCATCAAAAACTGTTGCAAAGCTGGCAATTGCTTAGGAAAGGATATCTTTGAAGGCTCTTCTGATTCTGTCTTTTGATCTTCAAACAACGCCGTAGGTTGAACAGCTTTAAGTTCCGGAGTCGCAAACGCAGGCGTTTGTGACTCCTCCCCATGCGCTTGCGCGCATGACCCAAAGACGTTACCCTTCAACCCACCCGCATCCACCTCGTTACCAACGGCGGTGGGTCGACAGACACCCTCTAACTGAAAAGAACCAACGTCATGCACAGCATTGGCACCACGGTCTGCAGAGTTCTTGCGGTGCTTGGTGTTGACTGCTCCGCCCATTGGATTTTTCAACTCCATCGCCCCACCGGATTCTAGTTTAGTTTCGTTGTCAGGAAGTGGCTCTGTCGAAGAACCAGAACCACGTGCCTTCTTCAGAAAGCGCAAAAAGTGCAACTTACCTGCGTTTGTTGCGGCCACAGCCCAACGCGCCAACGGCTCGACCGCAATGCTTCGAATGGCTGTGTAGTCCGTGTCAAAGGCAATTTCTTGTAACGGTTTCTGCCCATAGAGAATTCCATCAGTATTCTGCATCTGTTGCGTCGCCACCTCCATAATAGTAGGAAGGTGCCATACAGAGACGCGACCTATCTGCGACCCTGTAAACAACGTCTGACGATCTGGCGAAAGAGCGCTGCAGGTGATGGCCACATTAGTAGAAATGTCCCATATAAGCTGCAGCGTATTTGAATTAGTCGCGTTAAAAAAACGAATATGACCATCTTCTGAGGTAGCGTAGAGCGCGGTAGATAATTCAACACATGCATCATCCTGAGACAGCCGCAGCGTGGACGTGAGGTCAACGGTTCCAGTAAGAAAACTGCTGGTAGAGTTCTCGTTGGAGGAGCCAAAAAATGAGATGACGCCCCGCTTCAGATGCAGTGGAAAACTCCCGAGACTCGTAAAATTCATGGCGGATTGATTCTCATAAGATGACATGATCGGTGGCGCTTGATTGTTCGTACCACCGCCGGTCCCACCACTTGCCGCTGCCGCAGTATTTGGTGCCCCAATGTCGTACACACGCACGAGGCCGAACCCTGCCACGACAAGATACGTTGTGTCTGGAATCAACAGCAGTGCATTCACCTGAGAGTCCTGAAATGAGAAGCAACGCACCGTGCGACCAGAAGCGCCATCCCAAAAGCGTATTTGTTTATCGTACGAGGCGGAGATGAGAAATGCGGCGCACATTTGTAATGAAACCTCACGCCTGATGGCAGTATGCAGTCTCGCAAAAAATAATAATCTTCTGCCTCCCGACACACACACACACCTGCACGAAAGTATCCCCTCCCCTTTTGCTCACACTCCAAGAGCCAGTAAAAATCCAACTTTTAAAAGCTGCAAAAAAGTAATTATGAGCAAAGATCCCCTAAAGCGCCGCTATTTTATATATTTATATTTCGCTCCTGCGATTAACGCCTCGCTAAATAATAAAAGAGGGTGCGTCACTGTGGGGGAATAAATGTCTCCTCAACTCCCTCGTCCCCTTTCACTTTCCTTCTAGTGTGTCAAACTCTCAGATCTCGCTAAGGGTCGTTGGGTGAAATCCTAGAAAAACAGCTGTACGTATGCGTGTTCCCCACTTTGTTGGAACGCCATAAAAATAAAAATAAATGCACAATGGGGAGACGTTTCAGAGTTTATATATGGGATTTTACATACACGCATGCGGTATGTAAAGATCCAAAAAATAATAATTTCCAAACATCACAATGATATTCTTCCAGAAGCGTTGTCTAAAAAAAAAAAAATATGTATATGGGCATCATCCACCACACAGTTTGCGTAGGTGCTTCCAAGCACCATCGTCTACAACGCAAAGCAGTGTAGGCTTCACAGCGTTTAGAGACGTCATCCCCAAGACCCCATCGGCTTCATTCCTTCTCTGACTCACTCATAGGTCTTGCCACCTCCACAGAGGGAGGCAAGAAATTGTCTCCAACGACGCGGTAATCCTTAATGCGGCAGTCACGTACGCATGCGTGCAGCAAGACAAGGAGGCGCGGAACGGCTACGGCAACATCCCTCTCCTCACCCCAACCTTTCACGAGAAGGAAAAGTTTCGCGCATACATGAAGAATCGTCTTTCAGATAAAAAAAAAAAAAGAGTCGGGAAGGAGCACTGAGAAGCAGCACAAAAATGGCCAGCTTCGTTGAGAAATCAAAACAAAGAAAAAAAAAGGCAAACACGCAATAAAACATAACTGCAATTACAACACTGGACAATACTGCCTGTGTGATTACCAGCATATGAAAACTTTCATGTGTTGTTGTTTAATTCTTTTTTTTTTTTGTGTTTTCCGTATTTCACTGTTGTTTCCAGCAACGACTACAAGCGAGTAGAAAGACAAAGCAAAACAAAAAACAAAAACAAAAAAAAAGGGAAGTCAGAGGGACACAGGCCAGTGGATACATACAAACCACGAGGTGCACATGCATGACCATGTTGGCGAAAAAAATGCATATTTGCTCGACGTATGCTCCACCGTTGACGAAAAAAAACGAAGGAGAAGGCGGATGGGAGTGAAAGAAGGGCCGCTACGTGATGGCGGTGCACCCCACAGTTACGCCTCCGACCCCGTCCAAGTGATCTCCTCTTTGTTTCGCCCTCTTCCCTTCATCCCACCTCCTCCGTTCTTCACCCTCATCTAAAATACGCATACATATATATCCAGCCCTTTCCCCTCAATGTCTTTTTGGGACCACGTTCTCACATGTCGCTCCATCGCATCGTACTGCAGACGCCCCGTTTTTTTTTTGTGTGTGTGTGTGTGCGTGCTCTCTCTTTTAGCGTCGTTTTTGAGGTCCGTTTCACTTCCCACACCGTTTAAGCAAACATCTCGCACGCATACAAAACACCGCAGACACACACGGCATAAAAAAACACGCAGCGCACCACTAGCATACATCTCACTCGCTCGTACGAGCAGAAAAAAACAACAATAAAAGACACGGTGGTTCCTGCAACGCTGAAACACCGACCAGAATACATCATGATGCATCGAAAGAAGTGAAGATGGAAGGAGGGGGCAGTGGGGGGGGGGGACGCGTTAAGAGGGAGAACTGACAATTGTGACACCATACACCAAAAACAGAAAAACAAAAAGATAGTCAAACATCAGCAACAACAAAAACACACTTGCATGCTTACAATGCTGCAAGCGGAACTGCTGTCTAGCAAAAGACACGCCAACAAGAACAGCACAACACACGTATGCACAGACACAAAGGAAAAAAAGGGCAAAACTGGTATTAGTACGAGAGTGAATAGAAAGCAATGCAGATAAAAAAAAACGCCAAAAGCTCCAAACGCACAAACACACACTCACGCGGGTTGCATGGGCAGCAAGCAAAAAAAAAAAAAACAAGCAAGCAAGCAAAAGAAAACAAAGGCGGAAATGCAAAAGAAAAAGGATATA